ATGGCGTATCTTGCATCAATTGCCTGCCTTAGGGTCTCGTTTCCGGTTCGGCATATCCGCGTTTGGTCAGGGTAGGCAAAGAACTGCCCATCTCGAATGATACGTCCTGCTTGCAAATATTCTCCAGCAACTGAGCATGTGCGTATGGCATGAGGCCCGCCACAGAAAAAGCATTGGGAGTTCGTTTGATGGTTAGTGGAGGATTGGAGAGGAGGAAGGGGAAGGTAGGACAGGGATGGCTGGCTGGAGACGGTACTGACAAGGTGATGTGCTTTTGGGGATGGCCAAGCTTGAGCTGCGGACGGTAGTAGACCTGCAAGATTTGTATAACAAATGGCATAGGCGACATCAGCAATGTCGAGCCTGTGCATTTTCCTTGCCAGTTCTTCTACTTCGTCTCTTGTCAATCTGACGGGGGCAAAGGCTACGCGCCTAGTCTGAACTTCTCGCTTTACGTCTCTTTTCTTTTCTTCATCATCATCAGAGTCTTCTAGCAGTGCTGGGCTCCTTGTTTGACTAGCGTGTGGGGGCTCCCCGGACTCTCTAATGGTTCGAATCCTGGATGCGATAGGCTCATTAAGATCATCGAAGGTATCATCTGAGAATACGAAACGTCCAGCTTTGAGGACTTCGTCAAAGTCCGTGGCTTCTGTCCTTGAGTAATTCGTGTCCGTAAGTTCCAGATGCCTGTCGATAGCACGACGAGCAGCCATAGGCAATCCTTGCCAGAAGTATTGGTCTCGCTCTCGCATGGATATCTTGCCATTAGTAACAAGCCAATGTGCTACAGGGCGAAATTGCATATAGTACTGTTGCAGCTCTGTCTCCAATGAAATGTCATTGTCCGCGTTGCTAATGACGATGCGCTCGAGATTGCGAAGGGTATAACGTCAACCCTTGGCTGCTCCCGAATACTGATCTAAAATACTAGTTTTTAGCGTAGCGTAGTCCTTGCTCTCATACCTGGTTAGCATGACCCAGAAACATTTTGTGGGGTTATCCACGTAGCGGGTGATGGTTTTACATTTTTCTGCACCTGTAAGTCCATAACCGTTAGCCATGTCTTCGAATTGCTCGAAGAATTCAAGGAGCTCCGAGGTTTCGCCATTGAAGGACAGCACTTTGCTAGAGTTGGCTCCGGGCATGGCATTAATGCCTTTCGATGGGTTAGACATGGTGGCGGATGGTTGAGGAGGTATGAAGGAGGTTGCGGATGCTGCGTAGGGAACGGCGGGGTTTTGAAGGGTAGTGGTGGCTGGACCTGATTGGGAGGAAGCAGTAGGTAGAGTCAGTAGCATACTGACTTGGGGAATGAATTGGGGTTTCGGAATGGGAGGAGCCGATGGCACCGGGACAATAGATTCAATGGTTGCCTTTTTAGAAGCTCTGGATGGCTGCAAGGGTGTGGTGGGGTCAAATATTGCTGGTCTGAGTGAAAAGGATGGAGGTATAGCAGGGAACAGTGAGGAGTTTGAATGTTGAAGCAGATTAACAGTATTGTCGTCTGAGAGAGATGATTCGGAAGGAGCGTTTGATGTGTCTGGAAAATGTGCTTCGAAGTTGGAACGGGTAGGTGTCTGATGAGTACTGGATGGTCTGGAATAGGGTTTGAATGTAGATGACTCTGGGAAGAAGGGGGTAACGGGAGCATCGAGGGTGTTTGCCTGAGTCCTACATTTTCTGGACTGAGTAACGCTTTTTGGGGCCAGTGCAGGTGGCTTCTCCTTTTGTTCAAGGTAAATCTGCATGTTAGGATGACAATACTTTGAAATAGCGAAAATGGGTGGTCTGACGACCGAGTACTGAAAGAAAGACTATAGGATCAGTGGTAGATCCACAAATCAAACTTGAAGTGCGTAAGGGACATTCGAAAACAATTCCCCTCGCGGTGGGCTCCAATATGTAAGGCCGTGGTGCGAGCTTGAAGGGGAAAGTGCACAAGTAAAAGCAGATAGCGAAACAAGAGGAAAGGATGCGATGTGGACGCGACTTTCAAGAGACTTTCTGATGTTCTTGGAGCGGTGACTGATAGGGTATATTTCGCTGCTATCAATGAGAATACATGAGATGTATATATATGTTTTGCAATACCTGTCTGGGCCGGATCAAATACGAAAATAGTATGTGGCGTAGTGAAAATAACTGGTGGCAAGGAAAATACTTGGTGGCAAGGAAAATATGAGCGCAAAGTAAGGTACATAATGAAAAGAAGAAATGTATCTGCATGACTCGGATGTGAAGAGTAACACTTCTTCACATCTGTTTGGTCATGTGGAGGTTTTGCGAATGACGGTTCTCTGATTTCCTTTTGGAGCTTTGGTCAGGGTGCAGAGGATATACGATCCTTACACCAGTTAAGTGAGGACAAGCTTTGATGTGCACTGCGAGATGAAACTTTGGTACAAAATACCAGAAAGTCTTTCCAACAGGATCTGGTTGAAGGCGAAGAGGAAGTGAAGGGACATGGCCCCAGAGTTTCTTGTGCCATTGGCACACGATATCATAAGAGAAGTTGATGACTTTGAGGCTCGAAAATGTCGACAAAGCTGAAAACATGAGGTAATCCATATTTACATATCTAAAGCATGATGCCATGAGTGCCCGAAAGATGCAGACTGAATACTATACATGTACCTTTCACCTTTCTGCAAGTCGCCAACACCATTCACCAACTTCATGTCATGGCGGTGTAGGAATACGACACAGAGTGTGGCTATACAAAGATGGCTCCAAACTGATATCTTTATGTTGTGGTCTTGCACTGCCTAGTCTGCTATACTTGGTGAGACAAGTGCATTCGACCCAGGGGTCTGCGGTCTGGGAATAGTTTTGGGGGTCAATAGTCTGAGCACAGGAAACAATGTCTGAAGGTATAATTATGATGTCTGATGCAAAAGCGTCAGGTCTGATGTCTTCGGGGTTTTGGGTTATCGGGTTTGGGTTTGGGGCATCGGAAACTAATAGTGACATGATAGCGAGCATCGGGAAAGCGAGTGGTATGCACAATAATAACAATGATGGATAAGGGTGGTGAAGGAACAATGATATTCGCAATGTCAGCTAAGAACTACAAAATATCGGGTTTGACCCCTAAGCATTGGAGAATGGCTCTCCTCTACTTGGATGATGATGATGCTATGGGGAGTCCAATATTTATATAGATACGTAGAAGTCCGGAACCCTATAGGCAAAAGTAGTAGCGCAATATTTTTGGGTCTGATGTCCTATGTAATAAGACATGAGGTGCTGCAGACATGTAATAATGTGGTCTACAATGTTAGCGATGGGAAAACAAGTAACTATGCACCTAGTGGGGCTAGCACAGTGAGACAGGACATAGGTAGGACGAGTGTACACAATATCCGATAGGCCGATGTGAAGTCCAATAGTCCAATAGTCCAATGTCCAATGTCCAATGTCCAATGTTTTTGGGTTTGGTGCGTATTGAGTTGGATATGATAGGGAATGATTTGGGTAATGATTAGCATTGATACATGCATCAGAAATTAGACCTCTACGAGGCCACAGAGATGTCAGTCTTTACAGTGGGCACAGTCAACAGTGCCAACACCTGTAGCAGCAAGTCCCTTCGATATTTTTGTATCTGCCATGTTCACGGCATTATGGCTCACACAAGTGCTCCTCTGTTGACACTACTTTAATTTGTGAGAATGGACATGATGAATAGCACACACCTCTTGTATGACAGCAGAACTATTACCTATGTAGGCCTTGTAATGCTTCTCATTGACGAAATAGCCCCAGCCACTGCTGAGACCTGGATCTTTGGTGTTGGAGGAGATGGCTCAGCGCTTGAGACGGAAATTTGCATTGATTGCAAGAAATACACTATACATCCACCTGAAATATGTTAGCATCAATCCTACCACCGACAATAGAAAAACGCACTGTTGAGTTGAAGCTTCCCACCCGTCAGGTAAATTTTTTCTGGGGTGTGGGCATGCTGGGCACAGAAGAGCGAGTTCTCCTTCCTGAGTTGTGTTGACACCAGCTGGATCATGGCCATGGCCAGTGCATTTCAAGGAATGAAGGTTTCTCCATTCATGCATGATCCTAAGAAATGTTGAGTAGCGATCCTAGATGAAGTATGAGTCTAGCTGCATAAAAACATAGACAATATGATGCATCCGTATTGGTGTGATTCTGGTATTGTCGCTCTGGTGCGCTGTAGAGACTCATGCCTCTCATGGTGTGATATGGCACTTTTCACTAGGGAGTTCATTGCACGAACTTGCAGCACCATTCTGTGTGCTATCTGCAGCTATCCCTATATGAGGCGCAGCTTTCCCGCACACCATGCGCGCACCATTCCCACGCTTTACGATGTATACGCGCGCGCGCTTTCCCGCGCTTGATTGCCCTATAGCGCCAGCCTTCCGGAAGCATCCATCCACTGTCCACCAAGCTCTCTAGTGCGTGTATTTCCATTTCCCTTATTTACATATCATTTCACCTTTATTTATATCATGGACCCTTACTTACATACATATATCTTTACATACCTTACTCGGTAGCGATTCGGCTCCGCATGACAGCACTTAGGCGCCATATAAGCGCCAGCATCACGGACCACTAGGGGACTCTACCTCCCACTTACCCACTTACTACCTAGCAGAGTATAGTTGCAATCTATTCCTTGGCACCTCGCACTCGCATCTCTTGTCTTGCATCATATCACCACTTAAGCAAACTCACACTTACTCTCACTTGTTTCCGCTCATGCGCGCGTGCGCTTCCCGCGCCTCGCGCGTACCTTCGCTTTCCCACGCCTCGCGCGCACCTGCGCGCTTTCTCGCGCTTCGCATCAGCCGACCAGTAGCGCCTTCGGTGCGCACTACTAGATCCTTGCTGCACTCACTTCCCCTTTAGGGTCGAACGCACTTGTCGTCTCAGGTATAGCAGACTAGGCAATGCGCGACCTTACAACATTCACAGATACAGTCTGGAGCATTGTTTTGTTCCTCTCTGTATTGTTGTTTCTACAGCGCCAAACTATGATAGAATTTGTATGTGGATACTTTGGACTTGAAGGAAAGCAGGTGAAAGAACTTCAACACCGCAAATGTTGCAGCAGTTCTAGGATCAGTGGCTGTTGCAGGGAAAAGACGCGCCCAAAGCAACTGTTTATAATGAGAAGCTTCGTGCTCGCAACCACAGAAGTCTAGGCCGACTTCATGAATTCCATGAGTGTTGATAACAATGAAGTTGTCATGAAAGGTGGGGCTCAGATGATGACAAGTTTCTCCTGCCTTGTGACCGAGCTGAATATGTAGCCCTAAAAATTTGAGGGTTACAGCATGGAAAAACCCATCCTGCCATTCCTAAAGCACGACAAAATTTGATACAGATACATTACGAATGAGAATTACTCCACCTCAATTCTATGGAATGGCATTCTGAGGTGCAACTGCAAGAGGCATGCATGACAAGATAGCAGAGGGGATAAACAGTCTTGACATCTGAAAGACGGCAAAAATTCCCTGCATGAGCATGGTTCACTGGTGCTTTGCCTTGCCCTTCAAGACAAATGAGTTCAAGTAAGTATGTTTTGTCTTTAGGCAGCCAAAGGGCGATGGGATCATCCTAAAAGATGATCAAAAAAATACTACAATAAAACTACATAAGAGACTCACACCTGGTGTTCTCCAGCACCATACTTGAAATGGCCCATCCAAATGAGACTGCAGATCTTCTACTGCCTGGCAGAACTGAGTCTCATTCCAAGGGTCTAAGTCCATGCCAACAGCTTGTTGAGATAGCACTTGCTCCTTCTCTTCTATTGCAGGTCTGGAAGCAGACAAGTATGATGTCCGGAGATTGAAATTTCCATTTACCTGCAGGCTGAAGTTGCAATGTCTGGTGCTGGCCTGGCCAACAGTTTCGCTATGTATATGGTGAATGAATTTTGGGTGTTTGGATGGGCGACCTCCAGCTGATATGACTAAGAGATTGTCACCTGAAGAAAAACAGTATTGAACGACATGCTGATGTGACAAGGGGCTGGAAGTTACAGGGATATATCCCTGTGGCTGATAGTATGATGACATTGGCGAATCTGCGATACTAGAGCTTCAAAGGAAGTGGGCTCACCAAACAATGCATCAGGCATGTGACCGATCATGTGATATTCACACTAGTAGAAACAGTACATGAATGTATTGAAAAGTCGACAGCGAAATGCGTGAATGTAAGCCTTAAATATGGATACCCTTCTGGTACATCAGCTCTCCCATTGAGTGAGCAACCGTCAACTCAGTGAGTCCTTCAATGTCCAAAAAATACTGGACATCATCTATATAAGCAAGTGTAGTGCTTGAGAACCGGGAGACTGATTCAGTAGCGCGAGACTTGGTTGAGACTCCACAGAAAATAATGATTTGATCCTGCACTTGAGTTGCACGGCGGAGTAAGCATTTGACCTTGGTTTTCGCATTTTGAATGATTGAGGTGTTGCCCTTGCCATGCACTTCATCTGGCAAGCTTTTGACGTACTGAAGGAGGAGACTCTCTGTAAATGTGCAGGGTTTTTTAATTAGCACCAACATCTTGTCCTTGATGCTTTTGAAAGTGAGCAGGCACAATGGGAGATCTAGTGATCTGTAGATATTTAAATTATGTTTCGCTATTTATAGAATAAAAAAAGTCAGGACATACAGTGTGTCATTCTCATCATCACTTGTCTCCAGCTCAGATGGATCTTCATCATAGCCCAAGGCTACAGCAAGTGCTCTTTGAATCTCCTGTACCTCCTGCAATGGCTTTGTGAGGCAAAGCTCTCCTCGCCTTTTCAATATACCATCTCTGTGTCTTTGTACATCAGTTGAACTGCCGTCTGTCAAAGACAATTAATAAAAATCAAACTTACTTTTCGTAATGATGTCGGTGTCTCTCTTGACTCGCTGCAAGTTTTGCTTGTTCTATTTTATGAATGGGGGGACGCAGCATGATGATCATGCAGACTGGGAAAATAGACGAATCAGCAAGGATATGTGAGGGACTGGCAGAGGGATGTATACCAGTGTATGGTCCATCGTGAATTGGGCCTGGAAATGAGACCCAGAAAGGGATAGAAGTTTCTGTGCTGAGAGGGAATGGAGGATCAACTGTAATACAACATGCATCAGCCACCAATAGCAACTTCATTGACTTGTCTAATAGGATTACGAATATACACAGATACTGTCGGCATATTGGTGATAAATCTCCCCCTTTTCATATGTTTTATCCAAGGCATCCATATCGATTCTAACCCACACAATTATATCTTGTAGTGACACCCTGACCTCTCACACACATGTGAGTACTGCGCTTCCTACCTTGCGTGCCTCTAGTTCTAGATCCTCAATTATATCAAGCATTGCGAGGATATTGATGAGCACATTCGTCACTTCAGACTCCTCACACTGAATCAATGCGCAGCATAAGGTTTCTGTGAACTCACAGGATGAGTTGCCGATCACTGCGAATAGCTGTTGGTTTATAGATTTCGTATTCCTAGACAAAATTTTTATGAGTGGAGTTACAGTAGCTAGCTGATGACATACCTTTCTTTATATGCCTATCTATACTTACCAGCAGCTCTTGCTTTTTCTTCAGATGAGTTGTACAATTGAGGTCAGCCCATAGTGAGTGTGCCAGGGAGTTATACACATTGGTTGGTATGCAAGGGAAATTTACTGCGTGTTCTGAATGCCTAGGTTGAATACCGCTATCCATTCAAATATAATAAGAAAATACCTGAGTCTGTATATGCACCCTGGTTGGTGCGTGAAGGAGATTTACACATGAGGCCTGGTTGGTGTGCAAGGGAGATTTACTACATGTGAGGCCCTGGTTGGTGGTGCCCGAGGGAGATTTATGCATGGGATAATGATGGCATGTTACAAATAACACACAGCTCCTTACTGAAAGTTTTCATTTCAGTTGCCCCAGCAAAACATATCAAGTCAGTGTAACGTACATGAAACACATCACTGTTATGCGAATATTACTAAATCCAAAAACACCATGGCCCCTCCTAGGTGGATGCCAGTTGAACAAGAGGCATGGTTGCAACCTTGGTATGAAAAATTCAAGGCAAAGCAGGGTGAAAAAAGCAAGAACTACAAGAATTTCTTTGCCGACCTTTGTGAACAATGGTTTGAAGAGTTCCCAGAACCAAGGCCGGTGTAGAGACTCATGCGTCTCAATGCTAAATATGCGGCCCTTTACCCACATAATCCCCTATATGTTCCAGCTCTTATCCATAGGATCAGTCTTGTGCACATCTTACTTGCACTCGCATCTCATGCACGTGTTCATGCGCCCCACCCTAGGTCTTCATGCTCCTGTCTGTCCGACTGTCCTACATCCTCGCTGATTTACTGGTGCGTTATTCTTATCAATCTCATTGAATTGACGTATCCTCAGTCCAATTTCCGCGCTTACATACAGAACACCTATCTTAGGCTTTAGAATATATTTAGTGTTGATATAGTTACTCGGTTCAGTACGGCGCTCGGATGCGCCACATAGCATAATTCTTGGGCACAATTCCCCTTCTTAAAAGGAGGGAGGGTTCTTTAGGACTAGTTTTTACACGACTTTTCCCCCCATATCTCAGTATACTGCAAAGTGTATAATCCACCTATGTGCTAGAAATCTGATTATACTCCTTTATCAACTGTCACCTGCGCTTCCGCTATTCCTTGAAGACTCTTTCCCTTATCGCTCGAAGCGCGCCTCCACTTACGCGTGTGTGACCCTTGCACCTCTTGCTCACACGCGCATCTCGCGCGCATTATCTTCTCATGCCCGTCTAGTTGACAGAGTTTCCCTCCATTTTATTAGTGAGGAACTTCTCTCAGTAGCTGTCCTTTGGGTCGAGTCGTATTCTCATATCCAGGTCTTGCTGTAGAGTCCCCATTGGTTTTTAGTGTTTTCACCTATAGTCAAGATTCCTCACCTTCACTGGGTCACATCACACAGGTAGGACACCTGTGACATCAATGGAGATGGGTGCGGCTCATGATGCACATAAGACAGTGAGTATTCACCCATTAGGCTATGGGTAATGATGTGACTAAATACATACAACAAAGAAATTATATACTTGATTAAAAATAGCTTAGGAGGTTCAAGATTGGGCAGAAAGGCGAAGGCAAATACAACAAGTGTGATCGATTCCATGGTTCAAAGCATTACTGAGTGTGAAAAGCCCATGCGCATGCTCCAGGAACAGGAGGCATACTCAAAAATGTTCTACACAACTCGTGTTCAGCCAACTGTTAAAGGATCCCTGGAGAAAGCTGCTCATGAACACAGGACACTTACCAATGGTGAACACGTCACTCTTGTGAAGAAGGAGACTGTGATGTTATATGCCCAGGAGTCGCCTGATATCAAGGACCAAGTGAAGCAGTATCTCAAAGACCAGAAGCAGCAGAGAATCCAAGATAAGCAAATCAGATGGAGGCAAACATGTGGTGATTACTCATGGTGAGCTCGTGTTAATTACATTCAGTGGCACCATATCACCAACTTACCTCCGCTTCGAAAAGAAACCTCGACAAACTTGCAGCAGTCACTAACTCATTCTTGAAAGGGCTGGCAGAAGCAACTGGGATGTCGTTGTAGCACTCGAGCTCGCGCTATGCTCATATCCAGCTGATTCGTGATTCATGTCAAATGCCTGTTGCACGATAATCACTTCCCACTCAATCCAACACTTTGACAGTGGACCCTATGCTTTGACTAGCAGACCTGATGTTTCGGCCGCAGCGGACCCGATATCTTCCTGTGCACTTGTCCTATCCATGTCCCGTCCTGTCTTGCTAGCCCCACTAGGTGCGTAGTTGATCATTTCACACATTACTCACGTCGCAGCAAGCACTTTTACATGTTTTCCCATAGTCCGCAGCGCCTCATGTTTATTTTACATATACTTCAGGCCCGAAATATTCCGCTGCTACTTTCACCTACAGGTTCTGTATTTCTACGTACTTACATATATATTGGACTGACCTCAAGCTTTATTCATCATCCAAGTAGTGGGGAGCCGTTCCCTGACACTTTGTAGTCAAACCCGATATTTCGTACTTCTTAGTTGACATTGCGAATATTACCACTCTTTCTATCTGAAATACCCATCATTATCAATATCTCCACATACCGCTCACTTTCCTGACATTCACTATCACTATTCTCCATAACACACTGAACCCGCACCCAAAACCTGCTAACCCGAAAACATCGGACCTGACACTTTGGCACCAGACTTGTGATTATACCTTCAGACTTTGTTTCCTGCACTCGGACTTTTGATCACTTATCATTTCACTACTTTTGGACTAATACCAGATAGCTAACCCCTTGGGTCGAATGCACTTGTCTACAAGTATAGCAGACTAGGCCGCACAAGACCACAACATTTTATATTGCTGATTACTTACTTCATGTAGTGTCCAGTGATTGTTGTCTCATTACATCATTCTCCCTCCTTGCTGGGGGTCTGTCTCCAGAAGCACTTGGGTCAATCGATATCTATAGGTAAGCTTTGTCATATCCTGCATTCCGGACCCGGACCTATCACGCAATCATCTCCGGACATCCGGATCTGGTCAGCTTCTATCTTCCGGATCTTTTCCCTTTGGTATGTCCATTCTCAGGTAGCCCCTGCGTCCGGTCATCCGGTTATACCTATAACCGGACTATATGCTTAATTTCCGTATCTGCTTAATTTCCATCTTCATTTTATTGAGTTCCGATAGACTAGTGTTAGGTGTTCCATGTGCTCCGTCCATAGCCTCACATAGCCTTGCACTGCACTGACTGATTCTCCATTATGTCCTCAGTAGTATATAAACCCTGTACAGTCTCTGTATTTCCTCAGTTCGAATATTCTTTTAGACTCTGCTCATTCCCTCCTCCATCCGACTTGAGTTTCTCCTCTCATCATCCTCCGATAGTCTTAGAATTGACTCCTATAGACTTACCACCTCTGCCTCTACCTTTGGTAGTCCTCTACTGTTTCCTTTCTAGTTCGGACTTCGTCCAGATTAGTCTTATCACTTGTTCCTGAATGTCTGCCGGAATTCCCGCACATTGGACTCCGGACCCCGGACGTCGTCCATTAGCCCTTGGAAGTTAGGGGCACATACTCAGGTAAGGGGCACAGCACATGAGCTGAAGCCAAGCCCTTTGGATTCAACCCTTGAGCATGTTCTTAACAAGCTTGCATTTTACTGAAAAAAATAAAACCATATCTTACTTGTTCAGTTTTCATGTCAGTCAAATGAAGCTAGGTAACAACTTTAGCACCACATACCCTGGGTTTGATGCCAGTGTCATGAAGCCCTTTCAAGACTTTTTACATTGAGTACACCGTGAGTTTTTCTGAGCAATTGAATTCATTGAACTGACTAGGCATTAAATTTAATAGCTGAGGCTAGCGTATCGAGCCCACAACAGCAAGAGGGTAGTAGTGGAACTGGTGGTGACACAAGGGATTCATCGTCATACTTGGATATATATAAGTCGGGTAGTGAGCTTCTGTCCTTTTGGGATGTATCATCATCAGGTACCAGCAGCATCATTCATTACTTATCTATGATTGATGTATCATCGTCAGGTACCAGCGGTAGTGTCTCTAATGCCTTGTCCATTGGGGATGTATCACTACAGTAATCTGATATGCAATCAATGCAACACGATACATCCCTTGATGGACTCCTCTTACAATCTCCCATCCTTCCAGAATCACTCACAACGGTGCCTTTGCCCCCTTTGCCCCCTTTGCATGACACCTGCGATGACTAGACGAACCCAAACTTAGATATATTTCTCTCCAATCTGGATATTCAGATTGGGTTGGAGCCGCTAGCTGGTGCATCAGAAATTGCTACTCTTACCATGGTCCCACTTTCCTCCTGCATCACTGTTCACTGCTAGTACTGCCACCCTGCCTTCAGACACCAGCTCAAGCATACTGCCCGCCGTCTCTCACACCCCTCAACTGGACACTATTTCCACTCCCCCTCCAGACACCATCTTGAACACACTGCCCGCCATCTCTCATATTCCTTAACCGGTCACTACTTCCAGTCACCCTCCAGATATCAGCTCGAGCACCGAGTCACTCACTAGCAAACTTCCTCTCACTTCGACAACTCCTTCCTTTGATGTGGATCCATCGGCACCTACCCCAGGAAGCAACCATCTTGATGACATAGACATCAATGATGGAACAGTGCTTGAAACACACAGGACCAAGCACATCCCCAAGCCATCAACATGCAACGACACTGCAAATGCGATCAGCGCTTCTTGGAAGGAAAACAAGTGCCCCTGGTCTGAGATGTCTTCAGACCACAGATCCAAGTGAGTTGCAGCTATATCCAATATTCATTCTCAACTTGATTAGATACAATTAACAGGAGGGCAAAAGTGTGATGGGTCCTGAGTCACTCATTCAACATATCTTGCTCATTCTGTTATCATCATTTGGCTGCACCGTTTTAATTTTTGGTAATGCAAGCATAGTATAGTACTTGTAATAAAGACATGTCCTCCCCAAAAAGACGCAATATATTGTTTTCTCGCATGTATGATATAGTTGGACACAGTTTGAACATCACAAATGAGATACTGCACACTACTAAAGGTCATGTGGCAATTGACACTCACGAAACCACAATAAAACTTAAATTTCCTTCATGTGCACACCTCCACTCTTGACCAAATCTCATACTGAGATTACCTTGTCCGCCTGACAACATTGTGGCCGAATTTGCAGTTCTAGATGAAGTTGAGGTGGTCAGTTACAATGGCGAGGATGATAAATGGAATGAAGCAGAACCTTAATGATGTTGAAGTGCTGGAGTGAAATACTTTGTTTTAACGAGCTGGATTGAGTTGAACATTTTGTAGATGAAGTTGAAGTGGTGAGTTACATGGCGAGAATGACGGATAGGATGAAGCATAACCTGGCAAAATGCAAGCACATGAGGACAGTGCATCTAGGAGAAAGAAAAAAAGGATGTGAACTGAGAAATTGGAGGAATTCAACAAAACAAGTGGATGTGCAAAGAAAAACATACCAAGTGTGGGAAGTTCCTCATAGGCACTAGGTGAAGTCAAAAAGATAGATGAAAATACTATAAAGACAAGATCATAAGCAGGTACAGGCAGGTACAGGCACTCACCTGAGATTCAAGAGAGATCTGCCCTCAATGGACCTGCTCATTGAAAGATCCAGTCAATGGAAGCCAATGCAGAAGAACCAAATATTGGGTCCTATGGGAGGCAAGGGTCAACAGGTGGACAATGTCCATATATAGCATTCAACCTCCATTTTTATGATTAGTAAGCCCATAAAGCGGCTGCCCTAGGGATACATCCTGTTTCAATAGTATTACAAGTAACATCAGTCACGTGGCCACCCTATCATTTTCCCTTCATCTCGCCCTCACCATCTACCGGCTCACACTCCTTTACCGAATATCTATTTACCGGATCCTCAGGACCATTCCCATCCCTCATCTCCACCTCCTCTTCGCCCTTATCTCTAATAACGCACCAACGTGTGCACATGCCTTGGCACTATGACTCGTCCTGACTCATGCCACCAATGTGGCTTTCCTTTTCTGTCTCCTTTGACTTGCACTTGCTGTGCACTGTATCTTTACCGTTGGGTCATACCAACATTTCTCAGTCTCATTCCACATTCAACCTCCCATCACTAATTAGGCTGTGTTTCCAGCGTACCTATACCCCTTTCCATTTCCCCTCTACCCTTACCTACAGTATGGTAACCCAGCCCTCAACCCTTTCCACTTAGTATAAGTAGTCGGTCACCCTGTACTAGATTCTTTAACTTGAATCTACTCAATCTTCCCTTGAAACTACTTTCTTCAAGAGCTCCCTCAGCTCTTGTCTCTAGTATGACTTTCTTAGGTGCTCATTGCATCTAAGTCTATCTCGATCAACAGTCATCATTAGGACAAGACAGTCCTTACTTTGACTTCAGTGACTTCAAGGACATCCATCTTAGAAGTCACATGACACGCATGTCTGTGATATCTGCCGACTCGATGTCGCCTGTCTCACTCGCTATACCAGACTCTTCCAGTTATGTCATGAACATTAGCGGACGACGCCCCTCTTAGGGCTCCGCATAACAGACCTATTTGAGTGCGTAACAGATAGTGGACGATTAAACTGAATGATGTATCAGAGTTTCTGGCTTATAGTACAGTATAGATACATCTTTATAACAGTATAGGCTGCTCGCCCAAGGAGTTACTACTGGGCCTTGTTGATAACACCCCTCACACCCTGCTCGATGACACGACAAGTTCCGTCATCCCACAAGACATTTACGTCCACTCTGTATACATAATGCAACAACATCTAGATGCCTTCAGCAATGCAGTGGCCAATGCCATAAGACGGAAGGCGACATTCAACAAACGAGTTCTGTCATCGTACCAAGGTGAGGTATTGTTTCATCCTGGGCAGCTCGTTCAAACATATGCTAGTGACATTGACAATAATTTTAAGTCTTCCCACAAAATCATTTCATGCTGGTCAGCCCCACGTCAAGTTGTCACCAAGCGAACCAACTCCTATTTGTTGGAGACCCTGGAAGGGTTCCCTATACCAGGATGGTATCATGCACGACATCTATGTTTGTTCTTGCCTTGAACAGGCACCCTACTAGCAGAGATGGAAAACAAGAAAGTCGACGAAGCTGATGTTATGGTCACTGCACAGTGAGGATGTCAGTGACCCCAGAGTGTCGCATTTTTAGAGGGGTATCTGTGTTAGGATGTTTGGCATCAGGGGCTTCCTGGAGGCTTCCTAGGAGCCATTCTTAGTTAGGATTCAGGGTTCTGAGGTCTCGGACCTGGTTGGCAGAGCTTTAGAGTAACAGTTTCCCAGGGTAGACACACATCCCAACCATCACCTGTTTGGCACCCAGTGTCGAGACGCAGCCTCTCTAATGTCACATAAGGAAAATTATCCCTGACCCACTACCCCCACTGGCCACTGTAACTATAACTCCTGCAGACTCGGATTCTGTTCCTAATGATCCATCATCAGAGTCTGAGCAGCTGGAAACTCAAGATGGAGACATCAGTGACAATGACCAATCACTTGGGCACATCACATCCATTCTCGCACAGTGCTCATAAGTCATTAGAAGATGAGGACACCATAGACATGGCACCTCAGGCAGCACTTTTCAGAACTATTAGAGGTCTCTCAGACGGTATTGTTATGTTGAGATTATATAGTCTAAGAGACCCAGCCTCACTGATGTTCTAATTATAGCACATCTTCCTTCCTCCAGAATCCTCCTGCAGCACCTCCCTCAAGCCTCACAGCCCTCTGCTGATCCTCTGGATACTTTATCTTCCTTGCCGACCTCGCCAGATGATCCTGTCCCAGGTATGTAGAGCTGTGCCTTAGTGAGTATTTGTTATATACTGATACTAGTAAGTCTGCAAATATAACCAGCTGTCCTAGTCTCCACCATTCTCCACACCATTCATGGCTGTTCGTGTGGCAGCCTAGGTCAGTTTCTGCCTTTTAACTCTTCCTACCTCATCCGTAAAACTGCTCAGGTCTTATGAGGCCCCAAAGGGCTTAACAAGACCGTACAAGCCTTCTACACCATGCACCCACAAGTCTTTCGAATTCAACGGCTGCTTGATGTACCACCAAGATCTTACCAAAGAGCTGAAGGAGATCGACGACCAAAAGATTTGGTGTGCAGGAAATGTTGTGTGGTCGCTGCACCCTAATGACAAGGCTGAGGCCCGACTCATGGGAGAGGTGAGTCATCTGTTCAAACTACTGTGTTCAACCAGGTTTGGCCTTATTTTCACTTTTGTGCTGCGTACACCATGCTGTGCCTATCTTCTGCAACAGCTGCACCCTCCCAGTACCTATCTACATACACTCATGTCATACCTCCCGATCCCTCTATAGACATGCATTTCAGGTCTGGGGTGTAGTATTTAGGCCTTGGAATGTCTCACCTTGTGCTCAGCGATAGGAAGTTTGGGTTAGAGTTGTTGGAACACGCTGGGGGGTGAAGGAATGGGTGTAGTGTGGTTGTGATCAGTGAGTGCTTGTGTTTTTGGTATCTTCACATCTAAATGGATGTGTATGTGCAGAAACGGAAGGCATCCACTGTGCAATCTGCAATATGTCATCAATTATCTTCAATTTCGTACTTTTGACATTTACGTTCAATAGCATGGATGTGCGTAAGGCTGCTAGGATTTGGAGTAGAATTTGAAGAAGTATCCGAATGGCACATGCGTGTGTCACGTTGGTTGTGTTTTGATGTGCGATCTTTCACTGTTTGATGTTCCTTCACTCCAATCCACCCATCACAGGCGTCTTCTTCCTCTTCGGTGCAGAAAGTGCTCGGCTACTATGTGTGAGCGGCATAAGAGTTCTTTCATCAGTCCAAAGCACTTAACTGGAAGTTTGTCAAGGTGGTACTTGGCAATCCTTTTGTCCTCAATTGACTGAACTCTATTTGTGAACCTGGTGGAGTTCTCATTCTCAGTGAGAGAGGGTATGTCAATGGTGCGGTACAAACACTCAAACCGCATGGGATCCTCAATATGGCAAACTGTTGCGCTGTATGAAGCTGGTGGGGCCTCCATGCCAACCACAATATACTTTAGAGGATACAAGAGTCAGGAGGGATGCGACAGTTGTTGACGCTGAAGGCTCAAAGTAGCTGGTGCATTGTCTCCTCTTGTGGATAACTCCCACAGCACCCAAGTGCCTCCACCACACCTTGCCACCTTCCTGTTATCTCCTGCTGCACAGTTGTGGACCTCTTCATCAATTGTTGGCTATGCTCTTGCTCTCATGGCAAGGAATGGGTAGGATGGTATTATCTGTAGACTGTAGTAGTAGAATACATGTTTTTGTAATAGCTACTTCTATATGATTTATACATTAGTATCTGCATGTAAATTCTGCTGACAGTAAGGTGATTAGATATGAGGCAGCAGGGAGCAGTGGCTTCAAACAATGCAGGAGAGCAAAGTTGTCGACGCAGTGAGATGAGTTTCAGTCCTAAGTGTTAAGAACGTGCTCAAAGGTCGGATCCAAAGGGCTTGGCTTCAGCTCGTGCGCTGCGCCCCTTACCCGAGTACATGTCCCTAACTTCCGAGGGCTATCAAACGATGTCCGAAGGTTTACCGGACGATGTCCGGAGTCCGATGTCCGATGCGCGGGAATTCCAGCGGACGTTCGGGAACAAGAGATAAGACTAATCTGGACGAAGTCCGAACTAGAAAGGAAACAGCGGAGGACTACCAAAGGTAGAGGCGGAGGTGATGAGTCTATAGGAGTCAATCCTAAGACGAGCAGAAGTCGACGAGAGAGAAACTCAAGTCGGACGGAGGAGAGAATGAGCAGAGTCTAAGATGATATTCGAACTGAGGAAACTACAGAGACTGTACAGGGTTTATATACTACTGAGGACATAACGGAGAACAGTAAGTGCAGTGCGAGGCTATGTAAAGCTATGGAGAAAACATATGGGACGACTATCACTAGTCTATCGGAACTTAGTAAAATGAAGATGGAAATGAATAAGGGACGGAAAATAAAGTGTACTAACTGATAAGGGAAATACCAAAGGGATAAGGCACGGAAGTTAGACGTGGGTCGGATCCGGACAATACATAGAAGTTGGCCGGATCCGGAAATCCAGAAATGATGAGTGTGATAGGTCCGGACCCAGAACACGGGATATGACACTAAGGCTACTAGCCAGCCTCAAACTCTTGAAAGGTAAATGTCCATAACACTGTATTTTGCAGTGTCCTGGGTCATTTGCCTTACAATGATACTTGATGATGGTCTTGTGATATATAGGGACTGCTATGATGTTATTTCAGACCATTCAAGGTGCTACTATCATTAATACTCAGTTCACAATCAATGTTTTATGTTTTGGTTGGAGTTTTATTTGGCATCTGATTGGCTGCTTAAGCTTCTTAAGAGCATCTCCAGATGCTCATGAGATGCTCTTGAGTCCTAACTTGGTCAAAACTTAGTAGTACCTAGCTTCTCAACTTGATCTACAAACTTCTACATATGATTCACAAACAATTCACGTCAAATTCATGTCAAATTCATGTCGTATTGTGAGTCGCATGATTGATTTGTGTACTGGACTCAACATGGGTTGTATGTCCTATGTGCTTCTGAATCTATGTACTCCCTTCAACGGGGTTGCAGGAGTGCCCTGCACTGGTTATGTCTACATCCAACCTCTCAATAGGCCAACACCTACCTTCAAGCACCTCTTGCACAACACCCATGCCACCTATAGCCACTCATATGCATAAGGATAAGATTGAGGCAAGTGTACAGTCCATACTGCAGGTCATCCTTACCACCTCATTCAGGTGGTGTCTTCACAGGTACTTCAAGTCACCAAGCCCATTGGGGTGCCTGGTCGCTGGTGACATTTCAGCCCTATCGTCCTGCTGCTCCATTTCAACAATGAGCATGTTCACATCCATGATGCACCCTCAAAGTGCACCAATCAGTCTAGGTAATTTTTTTAATCTGCCAATGTGTATTTACATCTTTTTATGCAGACTTCTTCTACAGCTGCCATCACAGTCTGAATAACACACCCAACCGCGCCTAACCGCATCCAACTGTGCCCAACCACACCCTCTGGCATCACCCTGCACTGCTCGCACACTAACAGCCCTCCAAAATCACACTCAAGTGTTACCCTGTGTGCTCTTTTCTTCTTTTTAGCTTGCACCTTCTCGCTATTCTAACCATAGTGCTATATCATGCATCCACAGCTCCATTTTACGCACCATTCGTGGTCGTACATGTCTTCCAAATATACCCTCCTTCTTGCCCATTCCTGTTTGACTTCAGCAACCTCCAAAGCTGAGTTGTATTCTATTTTAAGTTTGAGGCATGAGGACTTAGATAGAATTAAGTGTATGTGGCGACATGGACCTTTGTGTTTCCCACCTTCTTGCTTTGTACTACCACGTTAGTACTTGCAACCCCTCCACTCATTCGATGACTCTCCCATTGCGTCGCATTCTTTCTTACTTGATAAGAATTAACTTTTTTATTTCAATATGCTGAGAATCTGGAACGATCCAAATCTTAACATATGCCCAGACTACGTATCAGAAGTATTCGCCAATATTCAAGCGCAACTAGTCAATGACAACACAACCAAAGCTCAGGTCATGCAATTGCTCCACAACATCTGGGAAGCCAACAATAATGCTATCAAGGTGTTATGGCAACAGCAAGTCGACAATGACAGAGAACAGCAAGAGCATCTTCGGAGGGTAAATGAAGACGAGCAAGAGAGACTTAATCAAGAGAAGGTTGAGGAGCAGGAAACAGCATGCAAAGAGGAAAAGAAGAAAAACAAGCACAAGTTTCTTCCAATCCTAGAAACCGGCATACCGGACGATCTGACCATCACACCATGCTCCTACGTGTTGAGGAAGTTAGACAACGGCGAGTATGTGGAGCTCTGGTACTTCACTAATGATGGCCTAGATGAAGCCAAGCAGAAGAAAACTGTCAACAATGACACTATGATTCTCTCGACATTGGCGGATGGTTCGACAGCTTGGGTCTCGTCAGCATCCATGAGGAGTGCTCGTGCAGTGGTGAATGACGAAAATCTACCCTTTGAGGAGTTCTGCCAAGCTTGTCCGCGCTTCCTAACAGCGATAGAGGAAGCGGAATGGCCACAAGACAGAGTAAGGATGATGGCACGATTCTGGATGAACATCCAGGTTCACCAGTTTCACTCATTGAGGGATCCCATAGCCCAGAAATCGCTGCTGGTTTATCAATCAGAACAACGTAAACACTGGCACATAGTGGTCAAATCCTCAGTTGGTCCTTACGACCTATCTCTTGTCAATGAGAAGGTCCTAAAGGACATGTGAGAAAGGGTATATTGGGACGAGCGCAACAAGAGGGATAACGAAAGAGACTACAAGGTCAGAATTTGCTCAAGATAACACAGAGTACTTATTCTAATCAATTTTTGACATATCATTCTCAAACATCGAATGGTTGACGATACATCGGTTTTATTGCACACGCTGCGTAATTCGCGCTGCACTTACATGCTGTAGAGACTGACATCTCTGTGGCCTCGTAGAGGTCTAATTTCCGATGTGTGTCGAATGCTAATCATTACCCGAATCATTCCCTATCATATCCGACTCAATATGCACCGAACCCGAAAATCATCGGACATTGGACATCGCACTTCGCACTTTGGACGTTGGACATTGGACTATCGGATGTCGCATTGGACTATCGGATATCGTGCCCACTCGTCCTACCTATGTCCTGTGTCCCTTTGCTAGCCCCACTAGGTGCATAGTTACTTGTTTTCCCATCGCTAACATTGTAGACCACATTATTACATGTCTGCAGCACCTCATGTCTTATTACATAGGACATCGGACCCGAAATTATTGCGCTACTACTTTCGCCTATATGGTTCTGGACTTCTACATATCTACATAAATATTGGACTCCCCATAGCATTACCATCATCCAAGTAGAGGAGAGCCGTTCTCCGACGCTTAGGGGTCAAACCCGATATTTCGTAGTTCTTAGTTGACATTGCGAATATCATTGTTCCTTCACCGCCCGTATCAGTCATTGTTATTATTGCGCATACCTCTCGCTTTCCCGATGCTTGCTATAGTGTTACTATTAGTTTCCAACAACCCGAACCCGAACCCGAACCCGATAACCCGAAACCCCAAAAACATCGGACCCGACGCTTTTTGCATCGGACATCATAATTATACCTTCGGACATTGTTTCCCGCGCTTGTACTATTAACCCCACATCACTCACTGACCCCCAAAACTATTCCCAGACCGCAGACCCCTGGGTCGAACGCACTTGTCTCACCAAGTATAGCAGACTAGGCAGTGCAAGACCACAACATAAAGATATCAGTTTGGAGCCATCTTTGTATAGCCCCACTCTGTGTTGTATTCCTACATCGGCCTCAAGGTTCAATGAGACCATGAGGCACACACTATCACACTCTCCCAGCACGCATACATTGATACTATCCTTGAACGTTTCAACCTTACCAATGCCAACATCTCACACACGCCCATGGAAACTGGCACCACTCTCTCAGATGCTCACTCGCCAGCCACTCATTCGCAGGCCGAGGTGATGAAAAATGTCCCTTACCAACGCGCAATAGGATCTCTGATGAACGCAGCTACAAGCACACGACCAGACATTGCGTTCAGTATAGCAACCTTGTCGCAGTTCATGCGCAATCCTGGCATAGCCCATTGGGAGGCTGCCAAATGGGTGTTTAGGTATTTGAAGGGAACAGCTGACTATGGGATCACCCTGGGTGGTGGTGGAGGCGGTCTGGAAGCTTATGCAGATGCTGATTGGGCATCACAGGCTCATTGTCACTCTGTCTCAGGGTACATCATCATACTTAATGGTGGTCCGGTCGTGTGGAGTGCATGCAAGCAGCCTCTCATTGCTCTCTCTACGGCAGAGGCAGAGTACATCACCCTGACGACAGTAGGCCGTTGTAGAGACTTGTGCCTCACATTGTGTGATATGGCAGTTTTCACTAGGGAGTACATGGCACGAACTTGTAGCATCACTGTTAAGACCATGCACAAAGGGTAGGACTGATTCCAAGGGGCTTGGCTTCAGCTCGTGCGCTGCGCCCCTTACCCGAGTATGTGCCCTTAACTTCAGAATGAAGTCCGGAGAAAGCCCAGTGAAGTCCGAAGGACTTCCGGAGGAGCGTGGGAAACTTCGGAAGGACTTTCCGGACGAGTGCGAGAAACTTCCGGATGAGTGCGGGAAAGTTCCGGAGGAACTTCCAGAAATTACGATGGAGTTTCATCCTGACGGGGATATGTGTAATGGCTACTCAGGACAAGTCCTGAGTAGAAGCAAACAGAGGAAAGGCTGCAAGGACAAAGTCCGAAGCAGAATAGGTCCGGAGGACCGCGGGAAAGTTCCGGAGGAACTTCCGGAAACTTGGAGGAATGGTGGATCGGAGGAGCAGAGGAGCAGAGCTCCGGCCTAGGGAATTCCTCCCTAGGCCTGAGATGGATAATGACTAAGTCAGAGGACTAGAACTGTTACGAGGACTTAGTGTGAAGACTAGTGCGAGGACTAATATGTGTATGATATTCAGACTGAGGAAACTACAGAGACTGTACAGGGTTTATATACTACTGAGGACATAACGGAGAACAGTAAGTGCAGTGCGAGGCTATGTAAAGCTATGGAGAAAACATATGGGACGACTATCACTAGTCTATCGGAACTTAGTAAAATGAAGATGGAAATGAATAAGGGACGGAAAATAAAGTGTACTAACTGATAAGGGAAATACCAAAGGGATAAGGCACGGAAGTTAGACGCGGGTCGGATCCGGACAATACATAGAAGTTGGCCGGATCTGGAAATCCAGAAATGATGAGTGTGATAGGTCCGGACCCGGAACGTGGGATATGACAGGAACATACAAAGGGAAAAGGCAAGGAAGATAGACGTGGGTCGGATCCGGATGTTCGGAAGTCCGGAGACAGGTGATTACCATAAGGGGATGGGCGCTGATTTAAGGTTTGGGTTCGGACATGACAGATAGGTCGGATCCGGAGATCCGGAGATCCGGAGATGTGGATATCAGATCTGGCATCCAGATATCAGATGCAGGAGTACAGGGATCCGGACGGATAGAGGATTGGGTCTGGAGACATGGACAGGAGGTCCGGAGGTCCGGATGAGGCGTGGGAACGTCGTCGGATGTTGGTCCGGAATGCGGGATATGACAATCACTCTGCATGATATCTGCAGCTATTCCTATATGAGGCGCAGCTTTCCTGTGCAACGCGCAACATGCACACACACTTCCCGCGCTTCGCGATGTATATGCGCGTGCGCTTTCCCGCGCTTGAGCGCCCTATAGCGCCAGCCATCCGGAAGCATCCATCCACTGTCCACCAAGTTCTCTAGTGCGTGTATTTCCATTTGCCCTTATTTGCATATCATACCACCTTTATTCTTATCATGGACCCTTACTTACATATATCTTTACATACCTCACTCGGTAGCACTTCGGCTCCGCATGACAGTGCTTAGGCGCCGTATATAAGCGCCAGCAGTACATAATATTACTCAACTAACTCACTTTCCACTTTACCTCCCACTTACCCACTTACTACCTAGCAGAATATAGTAGCAATCTATTCCTTGGCACCTCGCACTCACATCTCTGGTCTTGCATCATATCACCACTTAAGCAAACTCAATCTTACTCTCTCATTTCTGCTCACGCGCGTGTGCGCTTCCCGTGCCTTGCGCACACCTTCGCTTTCCCGCACCTTGCACGCGCCTTCACTTCCTGCGCCTTGCGCGCACCTGCGCTTTCCCGTGCTTCGCATCAGCCAACCAGCAGCGCCTACTTCTAGATCCTTGCTGCACTCGCTTCCCCTTTAGGGTCGAACCAGGCAATACTGTCATATTGAAGCTTCAAAGTGTGTGATAAGAGACACACCTTGAAGCATAATGTGTCTAGTTCCTTGACATCTGCAGCTTGATGCTTCATGAAGCATCAAGCCTTTGTGTCTCTGCCTTGAAGCTTCATGCTTTCCCTTGGGCAGGTACACCCCTTCCTGGCTTCTTTGCGTCTCTGCGCTGAAGCTTCACACTTTCCCACAATGCTTCCGTTCTTTAGTTTCACCCTTTTTGAGCAGGTACGCCCCTTCCCGGCTCTCTATGCTGAAGCTTCACGCTTTCTCATGACATTTAAGATCTTTAGTTTCACCCTTTTTGAGCAGGTACACCCCTTCCCGGTGTCTTAATTCCTTCCTGGCTTGCCCTCTTGGCTTCTTCCTTTGGTCTTGCCCTTTTTGAGCAGGTACGCGCCCCTTCCCGGCTTCTTTGCACCTCTGCGCTGAAGCTTCAGACTTTCTCACGATGTTTCTGATATTCGATTTCACCCTTTTGAGCAGGTACGTGCCCTTCCCGGCGTCTTAATTCCTTCCTGGCTTGCCCTCTTGGCTTCTTCCTTTGGTCTTGCCCTTTTTGAGCAGGTACGCGCCCCTTCCCGGTGAAGGTGAGGAATCTTGACTGTGGGTGAAAACACTAAAAGAAGGGGGCTCTACAGCAAGACCTGGATACGAGAATACAACTCGACCCAAAGGACAGCTACTGAGAGAAGTTCCTCGTGAATAAGGTGGAGGGAAACTCTGTCAACTAGATGGGCGCTGGTAGGCGCGAGAAGATAATGCGCACGAAGGCGCACGTGAGTGATGCGAGGGCGCGTGAGATGCGAGGGGCACGCGCATATGCGGAAGCGCACTTATGAGTGATAAGGGATGTGGTTTCAAGTATAGTGGAGACACGAGCTGTAGCAGATGGAGAAGTATAATCTGATTTCAAGTACTAAGGTGCACTATACAACTTGCAGTATACTGAGATAAATGGGGGGAAAAGTAGTAACCGAAGTAAAAAGAACTTCCCTCTATTTAAGAAGGGAGATAGCACTATGCGGTGCTTCCAAGCGCGGTACCAAACCGAGTAACCATATCAACTCTAAATATAATCTAAAGTCTAAGATAGACTTTCTGTATGTAAGCGCGAGGATCGGACCGAGTGCACGTCAATTCAGTGAAAGAGATAAGAATAACGCTGTAGAGACTCATGCCTCTCATTGCATGATATGGCAGTATTCACTAGGGAGTACATAGCACGAACTTGTAGCATCACTCTGTGTGCTATCCACAGCTATTCCCTTACGAGGCGCAGCTTTCCCATGCAAGGCGCAGCATGCGCACACGACTTCCCGCGCTTTACTATGTATACGCGCGCGCGCTTTCCCGCGCTTGAGTGCCCTATAGCGCCAGCCATTTGGAAGCATCCATCC